TATTAAAAAGCGGACGGCTTCCATGTGCTCATTGCATTGGGCTGATTTACGAATACAGGAAAACCATTTATAATTTTTGTGTACTATCGATATAAGCATAAGTCATAGTAAATCAGAATAGCCTACATCTATTGCTAACATTCTTTTTAGTACAAATTCATAATCTAATTCGTGCAGTAAAAACTAATGCCCAACATAAAGTTTTAAATAGAGCCATAGAAATAGACCAAATATCGTAAAATTGAATTTATTGTGACGTTTCGTCTTTACTCAAGACATCTTCAGACAATTAATTTATAGGATGTTAAGACAAGATATTACTTTTACAAAAAGGTGTTAAATTACTACTAAAGGCGGCCGTGTCAAATAGATTATATGATAAGGAAGCTAGGAAATAAAATAAAGTGACATTAAAAGAGGTTAAGTGGAATGGAGCTTCCTTGCACGTTAAGTGAAGGCTTGCATTTCTTGATTAGAAAACTCTCGTGAATGAAGAGTTCATAGGAATCGTTAGAAGAGGAGATTATTTTAAAGTCGTATAAGTTGGGGGTGTGTCCAGTTGCGTTAATGGGAGCAAAATTGCTCGATAACGCAGGGTGGGAAATTGGTTGCCTGTAAGGGGGGATATTCCCAAGTGCTCCGAAAATTTGGCGTGTGGATGACATGTGGTTTGACCCACATACGAGGCGTTGCAGCTTCGACATTTGAATAAATAGACTACACAAGATCTCAGAGGTTGGGAATTTTGTCTTACAATGGGAAGAAAGAAGAGGTACGTTGGAAAGGGGAGAAAACAAATTTAATAGATATATGTGGAAGGCTGCAGCACAAAGGCTATTGATATGTGTGCGAATTTAAAGGAAGTGCATGCCGGTGAAAGGAAGACAAAAACAGATGGGCATTTTGTGAGCAGTCTAGATAGGTGGATTGGGGGAAAAGGCGTTGTTAAGGAAGCGACGTGTGATTTGGTCAATTATACGTGAAGGAAAACTGTTTATGGTGAGTGACTTTCTGGTAAATTCTGAATGTGTGAAAATTTTGTAAGTAGAACAAAGGTTGAAGACGTGGTGAAGTAAGCAGGAGACTAGTAAAAGTTTGTAAGTAACTGGGATGAAGCTGTGGAAGCTAGTGAAGAGGCCCGTGAAAGTAGGTTTACGGTAGACAGAAGTGGTGAATTTTCTATATGTGCAAAAGATATCAATGTCAAGAAATGATAGTTTTCTGTTTTGTTCGACTTCAGCTGTGAATGTGATGTTCGGGTGTTGTCGGTTCAGATAGTCAAGAAAGAGAGGACGTGATCGGAGGAATGAAAAAGTAAAAAACAGTCGTCAACGTAGCGCCGGTAAAGTAGTGGTTTGAATGAAGAAGGACATTGATTCAGCCAGGATTGTTCGTGAAAGGACATAAATGTATTAGCAAAGAGAAGGCCCAATGGACTGCCCATAGCCAAACCATCAATTTTCTGGTACATTTGCCTGTTAAAGATAAAGTGACAATTCTTAACATCTAGAGAAAGTAGTTTTTCAAATTCTGTTGCAGTGACTCCGTTGAAGTACTGGTGGTTATTAAAAATGCTATTGGATATTATGCGGATGGTTTCGTCAACAGGTATCTTAGTAAATAGGGATACGACATCAAAACTAGCAAGGACAACATTACTGTAGTTGATATCGCAATTTAGGATTTCTTCAACAAAGGAGAAAGAGTCTTTGATGATGAGGTTGCTTATGGTAAAGGGTTTTAGGAATGGAATGAAAAACTTTGCTAGTTTATACGAATAGTCATTAATGGAAGAAAGAATGGGTCTAAGAGGGATGTTACATTTATGTATTTCAGGAAGACTATACCATATACCTATTCGTGAACCTGTAGGGTAAAGTTCTTTGTAAGTTTCTTGGCCCATAGATTTAGCATCTTTCAACTTTTTTAATAAAGACTTCACTTGATTTTCTCGTCGTAAAATGACTTTTACTGGATCTCACTCTATCATGGCGTTACTAATCTCCAAAATTGACTTTATACACCTTAAGAATGTCTCCGATTGTGAAAATTCAAGAAAACTAATACAACATCAACATATCCAAGATCGCAAACTTCTCCGTCTCAAACATGACAACAACGTCCAATTCAACCCTGATAAAGTGTTGTTCAACTTCTCAAGCCGCCTCATTACTGACAGAGAGAAAGAAATCCTTTCAAAAGGCTTAAACTTTTCCATCCCACCGAAAAAGTTAAACATTTGCACCGTCCTAACCCCCTTTGAAAAACTCTACAACCGTCTTAAACGAGAACCTGTTTATAAATAATCCGAATTTTTTCCAAACTCGATCAAATGCAAATTGAAAGACATTGCCCACACAGGTTTCCGAAGTTACAGCCCACCACTTTTCCTATAATCACTAGATACTTGAACATTCTAAATAATTTATAAAACGGCAGAACTATCCTCATCACTAAACCTGATAAAGGAAATGGCATCGTAATACTTAACAAAGACAACTGCATAAAGAAAATGGACACACTCTTATCTGACACGACAAAGTTCCAACCTCTTGATGGAGATACAGTAAAAGTCACTTTATAACGAGAAAATCAAGTGAAGTCTTTATTAAAAAAGTTGAAAGATGCTAAATCTATCGGCCAAGAAACATACAAAGAACTTTACCTACAAGCTCACGGATAGGTATATTGTATGGTCTTCCTAAAATATCTCTTCTTTCTTCCCCTTTAAGGAGAAAATTCCCAAACGTCTGAGATGTGGTGTAGCCTATTTCATCAAGTGTCGAAGCTGCAACGCCTCGTATATGGGTCAAACCACACGTCATCTACACACCAGATTTTCGGAGCACTTGGGAATATCCCCCCTTACAGGCAATCAAGTTTCCCACCCTGCTTTATCGAGTAATTTAGCTCCCATTAACGCAACTGGACACACCCCCAACTTATACGACTTTAAAATAATTTCCTCTTCTAACAATTCCTATAAACTCTCCATTCATGAGAGCTTTCTAATCAATAAATACAAGCCTTCACTTAACGTGCAAGGAAGTTCCATTCCACTTAACCTCTTTTAATGTCACTTTATATTACGATCGTGACTAAAACAGCATACGAGTACATACGAGTACATACGAGTACATTGGAGTGACATACGAGTACATACAAGTACATACGACAGACATACGGAACTGTTCAAGCTTCGATTTCTTTTTATACTTTAACCGACTGATATAAAAATATTTGTAATTATGATAATTTTACTTACATTACTTGTTTGTTTACAATAATCGCACAGTTTCAAAACAAGCTGGTCTGCATATTGGGGTCGTGACTAAAACAACACAAAAGTACATACGAGTACATACGAGGGACATACGAGTACACACGACTGACATACGAGTGACATACGACTATATACTGGTCACAAATGAGAATTAGCACAATTTCTTCAATAATACATTGATATTTGCCTTCACTTTTGCTTGTTTTTGTCTGGACTCTGGGGCAACCCTTTGATGGATTTAAATGCTGAAAAGGTATTTTATTCGCACATTCATTTGTATGTTACAGTTAAATTTTGTGTCCGTTGTGCGCAATGTCTTAATCTATTAAACGGTTTAAATGTATCAACAACGACAGTCTTGCGTTGGAGTTGCCATAAAGTAAACTCTCCTACAAAAAACATATACGTATTTTGTCGATGCGATTTGCCAGTATTTGAGCGCTTTTTGACACACTTTCACGTACGAAATACATATTTATGAAAGTGATTAAATATACAGCGTATAAACAATACCTTGAAAACGTGCTATATGAAATAAATGTACATTATATGTATTTAAATTCAATGACAATTGCACTGTGTTACGTATATGTGTCATAATATGCGTACGATTTCTGATTACTTTTAATGTTTTTAGAGTTCTAGCTGATGTAATTCAGTCTTTGAAGTGCAAAATCAGTATATTAAAGACTTAAGTTATTTATAAATTTTAAAAAAGAGGCTAGATATGAGCTAATGTGCAATCTGATTGATTCCTTACAAAACTACCTCATATTCCTATGCTAGAATAAATAAAATGAGTGCAACATTTGAGGAGAAAATCCACATCAATTAATTATATTACAAGTACATCTAATTGTTATTTTTGTCCAAGATTTTTAACTTATTAATACAAGATTACAAATATTGTACACATGCGCCAATAGTTCTCAGAATAACTGCTCAATATTTTTTGTACGGGAGTTTACTTTATGGCAACTCCAGCGCAAGACTACCGTTGTTGATACATTTAAACCGTTTAATAGATTAAGACATTGCGCACAAAAGACACCAAATTTAACTGTAATATACAAATGAATGTGCGAATAAAATACCTTTTCAGCATTTAAATCTATCAAATGGCTGCCCCAGAGTCCAAACAAATACTAGCAAAAGTGAAGGCAAATATCAATGTATTATTGAAGAAATTGTGCGATTTCTCTTTTGTGACAGTATATAGTCGTATGTCACTCGTATGTCAGTCGTATGTACTCGTATGTCAGTCGTATGTACTTGTTTATACTGTATGTCACTCGTATTTACTCGTATGTATTCGTGTGGTATTTTAGTCACGATCTTTATTTTACTTCCTAGCTTCCTTATCGTATAATCCATTTGACACGGCCCCCTTTAGTAATTTAACACCTTTTTTTAAATGTAATATCTTGTCTTAACATCCTATAAATTAATTGTCTGAAGATGTCTTGAGTAAAGACGAAACGTCACAATAAATTCAATTTTACAATTGTTGGTCTAATTCTAGGGCTTTCATTAAAACTTTATGTTGGGCATTAATTTTTGTTACTCGAATTCGATTTCCGCCCTGCAAGTCTCTCGCTACTATTTTAAATTCATAATCATTTTAATTTTGATTATCATTCAAAATTTATTTTAATTTCAATTTCGCCTAACCCCCAGATTCGCTACAGTGCTTTTTACAAAGAATTAACAATGGAACCTTCTTCTCTTTCAGAAACGTTTACACTGTACGAGTTGTTTCTAAGGTTCAGCACCACGTTTTGACCAACTTCACCGTAACCCCACACGATTGCCCGTTTTGGCGCTTGTTGCAACACCATATGATCACCATAGATTGTAGAAAAACGGAATTCAACGTGGCCATTAGTGATAGAAAGAGCAGCGAATACAAAAAGAATTGCGTAAAAAGAACTTCTCAATTTGCCCATTTTTCTTTCCCTTCAGCAAGCACTGAGGTTGACTAAGTGTGAATTTGTCAACAAGCTCGTCTTATTATACACGTCAGTATAAGTACATTAATATTTCATAGCTTTGCTAATGATAGAAGTGTTCCAGATATTCTTAAAACTAAAATTTTATTGGCAGTCGTCATCTGTTATTGTGAGCAGAATAATCATAAAATAGAACTTACTATTTTGACGATTTGAACAAATAATAAAATGATTTCTGCAATTGTGCTCATCGTTTTGCATGAACAGTTACGGCGAACGAAAACTGGTCACCACTGTCACTATCATGATGCATATAAACCAATCTTTTACAAACTATATCTTAAAGCTAACTGATAATGATACATGAAACATACTGTAGACATATTGCGAATAAAGTATTACTTAAAGACACAGGAAAAAATTTAAAACTGTTTTATGTGTGTTGTTTGGACCGGAAATTTTGTGATGGATTCAAAAAATACCATCATGTCTATAGTTTATCTTAAATTCAACTAACATTAACAAGGAAAAATGAAGTAAATATGAAACAACTGATTAATTGTTAGAATATCAATGCAATCAAGTAGTAGGATCAATGCAATTGTGTATGAAGCACTTATGACCATGCATGTGCATCTCCTCCACACCTTTTTGATCCAACCGTTTGATATGAGGTCCAATATATTTTGGTATAGAATTAGTTCATATTTGAAATTAAGATAAATTCTTGTTGAATTTGTATTAACACATCTATACTCAAAATGTACGAATGTACGCAAATACTTTTGACTTTTCAATCTAACTGTCGTGGTAAATTTATATTGAATTGATAACACTTGTCAGAAGGATATTAAGATCCATGAACTTGCATTGACTCGATCTGGAAGAAATCAGCACATTTTAGACTGGCTAAACACATTATTATAAGATGGAGATTATTAATAATAGTACATGCCCATCATTATTATAAAATGTGGATTGTTCAAAGACTAGACATGATTTTTGCAACTTTGTCCATCGTTGTGTTTTAGCATGAACAGGTACGGCAAACAAAAACAGGACATTACTGTTATTTTCATGATGCAACAAGACAAATCTCTTAAGGACTATGAAATATAGCTAACTGATAATAATGCATAGAAAATATCTTAGATATATTGTGAAAGAAATAGTACTTAAAGAAAAAGGATAACATTTGAAACTGCTTAATGTGCGTAATTTCGTAATTTGGTCGGCAAATTTTGTAACGGAATTCAAAAAATACCGTCATGTCTTGTGTACCTTACATTCAAAAAATTGTAACTACGCAAGGTAAAGCAAATAATAAGTAAGTTTTGATTAGAATAACAGATTTCTAGGATCACTGCGCTTGAGTATGAAGCACTTGTGACCTTACACGTGCAAACACACCACTTTGATCCAGCTGTTTGATATGAGGTCCAATACATCTTGGCACAAAATACATTCATATTTATAATTAATTATTGAATCTTTGACAACAGAATACTCTAGACCATGAATGTAAGGAAACATTTATGACTTTTCAACCTCTACAGTCGTGGTGAAATTATATTTAATGAATAACACTTGTCAGAACAAGTCATTGCTTTTAAGCGGTTATGCTGCAAGGCCTTATTCATGCACGTGTATTGACTCAACCTAAAATAAATCAACATCATATACTATATCTGCACTCGCAACGCAATTTAAGGGATCATTTGCTACCTATAATATGTCATGAAACTTTGATTATTCTAAAGTAGAAGGATATTACAAATGCTCTTTATAAAGCAAAGGTTTGCTGTTTTGTGTTCGTTTTGAAAAAATGATATTACAAAATGGATAGATTTAATGTGTATATAAAAATATTTAAAGAAGAAGTACAGCCGAGATAAACTTATTTCTACTACGTCACCCTGATCTAAAAATAATTGAGAAAATATTCATTCACCAATATCAAAATGACCAACATGATGTTTTAGTTCATATCACAATGGCAGCTCAAATGAATTATTATTTTATATTTATTCTTTCTTTATAATAATTACATGTACCCTATTATCTACAAAAGTCAGAGGTAAAAACTAAAGGAATAAAGATTTATCTTTGTCATAGCAGTTGTTTCTTTTGGTAATACGGTAGCTAAATTAAAAAAAGCTCACAAAATATAAACGTTGTGACGTGATAAAATTGGGAAATTTTCAATAAATTAAAATTAATGATATGAAACAATTAGCAAAAACTTCCACGGCATAATTTTCAACTATAAAAACAGAAACTAGTAACAACTTATTGTAGATTGATTATTATCCACTGTGGTTATTCGTGTCAATCTCCTGCACGACACACATATGTTGGTGTTGCTCACCTCAAATTTTAGTAATGCGTTGATCGATAAAGTTAATTTTAGATCAATTATCACTTAATAACTGAGACAGAGGGAATCAGCCTGTTATATTTTTCCCGCCGTTGTAACAAAACACATTGGGAAAATTCCAGGAAATTTCAAATTTTCAAGTGATGACGAACGAGACTTTTTGTGTTATCTATCGGTCAACAACATGTCATCTTCAGCTACATACAAGAAAACAGCTCAATTTCTTCAATCTCATGTGACACGCAATCAACCAATGAATAAGAACTTTGAAAATTTATGTATAGCTAATAGTATGAGTTATACTGAACGAAAAAAAAACTTACTGCCACCACAAAGCTTAAGATAAAGAACTTTAGGTATGATAAATTTCATTCGTTTTACTAGAATCAATGTTTCGAGAGATATCAGGCTTTAAAATTTGCAAAAAACTAATTTGAACGTATTTTGCTTAATTTGCTTACCATATACGTAGAAGTTATTAATTTATGTGTATCAGTATAATACAGTATATGACATTATATAGAGTATATGACAGCGTTCTAGTTTTCATGTGGGTTTTTTTATAAAAAACTTTAACACTTTAAAGAGACCTTGTTTGCGATGTTCATACATGGGAGCATATATTCTAATTGCAGTTTGGTTTACATGAATGATAATCAGTTTACACCAATAGTCACAATAGTTCATAGTCAATCTACAATAAGCTGTTTTATTATCTGTTTTATACGTGCAAATATTATACCGTGGAACTTATTGCCATTAGTTTTCATATCACCAATTTCAATTTGTTGAAAATGTACCAAATTTATCGTGTCACAACGTTTATATTTTGTGTGGTTTTTATAATTTACTGTATTATCAATATAAACATATTGACATAAATTAAACAACATGCTCATAAGGTTATCCATTAAATATAAACTTACCACGATTAGAGATTCAGAAGTCAGAAGTATTTGCGTACTTTTATGGTTTCGAGTAAGAATGTGTTGATACAGATACAATAAGAATGTATATTAGATTCAAATATGAATTCTGTGCCAAAATATATTGGACCTCATATCAAACGGTTGAATCAAAGATGTGTTGAGGAGAAGCGCATGCACGGTCACAAGTGTTTCATAATTCATACGCAAATGCTTTATCTTACTTATCGGTTATTCTAATCATCAATCCTTGTTTAATATTAACTTTATTTTCCCTAGTTTTTGTTGGTTGATTATAAGATAGTCCAGACATGACGGTGTTTGTTGAATCCCATTAAAGACACACAAAATTCATTTTCAAATTTTTCGTGTTTCTTTAAGTAATACTTTTTTAGCAATATGTCTGAGATATTTTCTATGTATTATTATCAGTTAGCTACAAGATATAGTTTGTAAAAGATTGATTTGTTATGCATCATGATATTGACTGTAATGTCGTTTAAATAATGATACCACGTGCATGACTGGACATTTCTCCAAATATCGTCATGCATACAAATCAATGTTTTTAAGCTAAGAGACAACAATAATAATAGCACATAGCTAACATCTAAGACATATTGCCAATGAACTCTTCGACAACGACTCTTCAACACTTCGACCGCGTATATTTACATGCAAGAAAATTTACATTTTATTGTTTTCCGGAAGTGTTAGTTTATACTTAGCTATCTCACAAAATACTAAAGCCATAGTACAATTTAGAGTTTTATTTTCCCCCAAAAAACGAAGACTGGTGTCTTTTGTTGGCACTTGACCTTGGTATGATTTCTCATTTTGGCAACTCAGTTACTGTACTTTGTTCCAGATCAAAAGCAATACTTTTGTTATATGAGTTGCCACTTTTCGAGTGTTCAGAAAAATCATCAATATCCCAAGCCAGAACAGTTGGAAAATTTCTAATGGCCATGGCCTAGGGGGACAACAGAATATATTTAGCTATACTCAGAATATAAGTATTTAGCAGTTCTTTCATGGATATATTCATCTGTACTAGAGCAGTCTTTTGACTTAATACAAAGGAATTCGACATACAATATCCCAAGCCACTTAGTAGAGAAATTACTGAATCGAATCTGTTAGTTGTCTAAAAGCCATAACAATGCTATGCTTTTAATGCAGGTTCACAATGCCTTAAAATTGCTTTACAGATTTGCAATACCTTTAAGACAGATTTACAAGGTCATGTGCAAGTAATGTTAGTCTGGCATTGTTCTTGCACTGAATTTAACTAATAATAAACTAAATGGAACTTAAAAAACAATGTTAGATAATTCAAAACTAAATCTTACATTGTAGCGAAAACTATTATGTAGTATTTACAGTTATCCAGGTAATCATAGCTTGTCCTTTGATAACCAAGATGTGTCTCTTCCACAAATATATTTGGGAGTATATATTAACCCATTTCGCTCATTTTAAATGGGTATTACTCAGAGTTCTAAACTTTAGAATGCGGAAGACAGCCAAATTAGATCGCTTTCTGTGCTATCTAAAGGCTATGTTTAGTGTTGCCAGATAAAATTTGTTATTATTCATGTCCTCTGACGTCAAAAGTTCACAAAAACTACCAAAGTTCATGTATCTACATTTTTAAAGTCGGAATGTGTCGAAAAATGTCGGAATAGCTCGGAGATTGCTTGTAATTGTTGAGCATACTCATAACATGATCAGAAATCA